CTCACGAGTCGAGCATATGGCTGTTGTAGCTCCGACGAGCTGAGTTTCAGCTCACCGTTTGAACTCATTTCGAGCTCGAGCTCAATTTTGAGCTTCTTTCCAAGTTGACGTGTTTAGTTCATGCTCGCATTTACTTGTTTACACTCCTAATTAGCAGTTACTGACTTGTTTACCTAGGTAGAGTGCCGCCATCATTTTTCACCCTCTTTGTGAAGTTATAGAACCTTGACCCAATGTTTATAATCTTCTCTCAAGAGCATCCATAGTAGATGGGAAAAAACTTTAAGAAGACAATAAGATATTCGCTTTGGGCAACCTGGTAAATCCCTCACAACTTTTCCCTCACTTGATCTCTCACACTTAACTCTCACAATCTCTCACAAATACTCACACTCAATGGCCACTCTCAAGAGCCATTCACAGGGAAGGTCTTTAAGTTAGTTTCTAGAACTCTTTATAAAGACAAGACTTGGAAAATAATCCAAAACCAAAAAAAATTTAAGTGAACCATCATCCAATAGTACGGTACGAACAATTCAAAAATCATGGTTTCGTTCAATACGATATGGTACGAACATGATTTCATACTCTTTTATTCGTCTATATGAATTAAGATCGTATGGTATGAACAATTCAAAAATATAATGTGTTCGTTCAATACGATCTAGTTCAAACCTGATTTTGTACTCTGTATGTTGTCTGTATGACCTGACATCGTACTGTATGAACTGTTCAAAAATGAACAAGTTTGTCTTGTATGATATGGTACAAAAGGAATTTTTTACTATGTTAATCGTCTATATGAATTAAGATCATAGGATACGAACAGTTCAAAAATGGAATGTGTTCATTCGATGTGATCTAGTTCAAACTTGATTTTATATTCTATTAGTTGTTTGTACGACCTGACATTGTAGTGTACAAACTATTTAAAAATAAATAAGTTTATTTGGTACGATATAGCAGGAAAGGAATTTCATACTCTATCAGTCGTTTGTATGAATTAAGATTGTATGATACAAAAAGTTTAAAAATTGAATGTGTTCATTCGAGTCGAACTAGTACAAATCTGATTGTATTCTCTATTAGTCGCTGAATGACCTGACATCGTAAAGTATAACTAGTTCAAATAATACAAGCCATGATTTAATTGACTGCATTTGGAGGAAAACTAAGTCAAATTTTATAGTGTGATTAGATATTATATAGTACTTACAATCATACTTACTTAGACTCAAGACATAAAAATAGAGATATACGTAAATCCTTTTATACACTATATTGAAGTCTTCAATAATTTGGAGTATGATTTTTCTAAAATATTAGTACACATAGATAAACAAGCAAAAAAAATATCCAACATATGCTAGAAGTGACAACAAAATTATCAGCATAATAATTAGTTTTGTTATCATCAAAATCATAAGCTCAACGTTGATTCTTGGGTTGAAACATTGTACTATATGCATGCTTGGATAAAGTGCCTATTTTTAAAAGCTTGCTAATCTTGAAAAAATAGTTGGTGAACAACAATTTGTTTAAATCGAATTCACAATCATGTTTATGTGCGTGATTTTATCTTAAATTTTGTCTATATACACAAATATGTTTGTGTTTAGTACAAGTACTATAGCACTAATCCTCTCCAAATTAAGACTAGTTAATTTACAACTAAACTTTAATTTACATGTTTATCAGAACTCAAATCTCAATGTATAGCTTAGGTTAATGAGTAAGTAATCTCTACTTTTTTTCTTTTAATATTATAATAAAGTTCTCAGGTGAATGTCACGATCAGGCAACTTCATAATACAAAATTATTTGTATATGAGTGATATACTGAAAAGTAATTTAAAAAGAGAAAGTTAAGAGGTTTAGTCTTACATAAAATGGGTTGAACAAAAATAGATAATATCTCATAAAGTATAGTTCAAGCTATTTTTCCATGTCTCTCTCTATCTCTCTCATTCTTAACATGCTTTAACATGTTCCTTTTTAAATATCTTTTTGTACTTATGATGTCATGCCAGAACATATATGTTTGATATTTTTTATTGTTTATGTTCAAACTAATCTTTCAACTTAGGCTCCTCATCATGGGGGAGTAGTATATCCCTACTCACAATTTCTTTTGATAACTATAGAATGTTTATCATCTCGATGTCAAAATTTATTTACTATGACAGTAAGATGCACTACTTGAAATGTATTTAATTTAATTTAAAATTGGCTTAATATATTAATAGATTCACATGAATAGAAGTATGATTATTGAAAATAACTTACATGGCCCAGTCCAAAAACTTGGACTTTAAAGGTGGGAATAGATGCTCAATTGAAAATTTAGATATTTATACTAATATTAAATACTAAAAAAACATATTCTCATGAACTTCCTTAAAATATCAATTTTGAATACATCAAAAATCCTAAATGTTTATAAAAAATTTCCAATGTTAAATTTAGTTTAATAAGACGTGTAAATTTTTATCTAACCCTATAATTTAAACCTTAATATTTTAAATTTTTTAGCCTAGCCACAATACTAAAAGCATCCATACAAAAAATTTGAATAACATTCTTCTTCTGCAATGCTTTCATTATTATTGAAGTAACATATACATAAGGCAAAAATCAACCAATTTAAAGAAAAAAAAGAATTACAAGCACAATTGTCAGGAAAATCTCACTGACATTTCTCACTCCTCAAATAAAAAAAATGAATGGAAGATATATATAAATAAATTTATGTACAAATTATTTATGTGAACTCTATCATGTGGAAAGTAATAACATTAGTTTTATTTTCATGCCTAAATGATTGCACTTTTCGAAGCTTCTGTTTGAGTGCAGTGACTCAGAAATATTTTCAACTGCCAATTAGTATGACCACCAGGCATCAATTCACACATAGCTCCAAGAATCAAACAAAAATTTGATCCCAAGAAATCCTCAACAAATCTCTATAGCTCCTTCTTATGCATCATTAATCTCCAATGATGGTATTTTTTTGAAGTATGAACATCTCAATAATTTAAATCGATCTGTGAAGCCATTAAATCTTTTGACTCATCAAAATATGAAGAAATTAGCATCAAGAATTCTTTGTATGTCTTGTTGAAATCATCAACATAAACAGTCGCTTCCACCTGTTAAGAAAATTATAATCAATAAAATAAATAAATAAAACTATTCAGACTCTGCACAACTTAAACACCAAGTGAATATTTGTTAAATATGAATTCTCCAAAAGGTTTAGTGAACTTACCAAAACTTTGTAAATGTTTCATAGAATCAAGTGTGTGGGAGAAAGTGTGCAGAAATTTGAGACTATCATGCATTACAAAATCAATAAAAGTGTTCGAAGTTAATAAATATGAAATTATTTCTAGTATGATTTAATTATTATTCAAAGTTTCTTTAAAATGAAGACAAAAGTTTGCATTTGTTTTTATTCGAAATAAAACAAGAACTTATTCAATTAAAGCATATTTTCTATTTATTTGAAATTTAAAATCAACCCATTTTATTGGCCGTTATCATATCATGGTTAGCTAATAAGATGTCATTAAAAATACCAGCAAGACATCACATACATTAAAGCTCTAAAAAATTTAATTTAAAGAATAAGAAATATTGTGAGAGTAGAATAAGGAATAACAAAAAATTGCATTCTCTAATGAATATCGAGATGCTTCTCTTTCCTTCTCAATAATTTGCCTTATTTCTAAAGGCTTCAATGGTTTTAATTCTTCTTTTTTCTACATGAAGTATGATGATAATTAAAATGATCATGTCAAATATTAAAATAAATTAAAAATAATAGCTATTAAAGGAGTTATCAATGAAAATTGAATCATAAGAAAATTAACTTGTTTTATCATTAGCTAAAATCAAAGCTCTATGAATTAGTACGATAAAAATTCTGCTTTTAATTAAATAATTAATCTACTCATGCTTTAACTTAAATGGAGGAAGTGTTCATGTGCTATTATTATTAATATATTATACCTTCAGAAACCGCAATGGGCACTACTCTTTCTTGCCCTCGCCCTAATTACCGGGAATAAAAGAGTTCATATTGTTGAACAAATTGATTAAAACTAATTCAAAATTTATTTTTTAAACTAAATAAAATTAATTATGATCATTAACTTACATTATCATCATCAAATAGACATCTTGCAATATTTATAAAAATTGCAATTTGCTTGCTTACTCATTCTCATAATAAAATGGTAATATTAAAGACCTTACTCTGTTGCTGTTTTTCCACAAAATCTTCATTTTCATGTTGCATTCTAGCTTGATTAATTTTGTCCTGTGAAATGAATGCATAATATGAATCATGTACTCAAACTAAAAAAAAAAAAGATAAATATTGTGGATTAATGAATGGTATATAACTCGTTTAATTAAATGAGAAATAAAAATGTAAGCATTAAATTCATATTATCAATCAGGAATTTTTTTTAATAAAAAAATAAATAATAATTAATGGTCACTATAAAACCACCAAAATATAATACGAGTTCACAACGAGTTAAACGAAATGTCAATATTTAAAACGAAACGAAATCAAAGAATGAAAAGCTCTAAATTAATCAATATTGTAATGAATGATTGCACTAGTTAAAAAAACATTATATATAATAAACAAATAAAAAATCACCTTTTCTAGGAGAGAGAAGCTGAGCCTTGATCTATTTTTAATTTTATCTTAAGCTCAGAATTTGGCATGTCTTTAATGGCCGTAGCTTTTACATTTGTCACAGTACTTTCAATTCTTCGTTTTTCTGCTCAAAATACAAAGCTTATTAGAAAAAAATATGCTCATAACACAATAAATGCAAAATAATGCAAATGAAATGGTTCTTCTTACTCTTCTGTTGACTTTGTACGACATCAATATTTTCTGATCTCATTTTATCTAGATCTTCACTTTCTTCCTAAGATGCAAATACACAATTTTAATCATTTTTTTTTTTTATTAGCATAACCACAACTTAAGATGGAATTCATAGTTATACTTGGTCGCCACAGAAGGAAAACCCAGCAATCCAGATTGAATAAATAGTTGGCCTCAGAACAAAATTGATTAGCCTAAATTAGGACAAATTGGAGAAGTAACAAGAGATCCTTTTATCCAATACATACTGTAGAGTTTGATGTGAAACTGCTGCAAGGACGAGTGAATATTAGTAGTCAAGTCCACCCATGCCACCACCACCCATAGAGGAAGCAGCTTCTTTCTCATCTTTTGGCAGCTCCACAACCACAGCCTCTGTTGAGGTCATTAGAGAAGAAACACTTGCAGCATCCACTAATGCAGTTCTAATTACTTTCAAAGGATCAATAATACCAGCCTTCACCAGATCAACATATTCACCTTTGGCTGCATCATATCCTAAGTCGGGACTATCCTGCTCCAAGAGTTTTCCCACAACCACGGCTCCTTCTACACCCGCATTTGATGCAATAGTGTGCACTGGGGTCCTCAAAGCATTTTAAATAATTTGCACTCCTATCTTCTGATCGAAGTTGGCAGTATGCAACTTGTCCAGCTCCTTGGACGCATAGAGGAGGGCAACACCTCCACCTGGTACGATTCCCTCCTCAACAGCAGCTTTGGTAGCATTCAGAGCATCATTTACTCTATCTTTTTTCTCGCTAACTTCAGCTTCACTTGCCCCTCCTATCTTTAGAACAGCAACACCACCAGAGAGCTTAGCCAACCTCTCTTGCAACTTCTCCTTATCATAGTCAGATGTACTCGACTCAATAGTAGATCTTATCTGATCGCATCTCTCTTCAATAGCATTTTTGTCACCAGAACCATCAAGTATAACAGTATCATCTTTGGAAACTGTCACCCTTTTACATGACCCAAGCATTTCAAGTTCAACTTTCTCAAGGTTCATGCCAAGTTCCTCGGTGATAAGCTGACCACCAGTGAGAACAGCAAGGTCCTGCAAACCAGCTTTCCTGTTCTTCCCAAACCCAGGAGCCTTGATGGCGCAAACTTTGATTCCAGCTCGAAGCTTGTTAAGGATCAATGTTGCCAACGCATCACTTTCTATATCTTCAGCAACAATGAGCAAAGGCCTTTGCCTCTTCAATGCTAACTCCAAAACTTTCACCACAGAATTAATGCTTGAAATTTTCTTCTCGTGGATTAAAATAAGAGGATCTTCCAATTCACATTTTTGGTTTTTCTGATTAGTGATGAAATACGGTGATATGTAGCCCCTGTCAAGTTTCATTCCTTCAACCACCTCCAGTTCGTTGTAAAGAGTTTTGCCATCAGCAATTGTGATGACGCCTTCTTTGCCAACTCTCTCCATTGCCTTTGCAATTAGTTCTCCAATCTCTCGCTCTCCATTTGCAGAAATAGTACCAACCTGAGCAATCTCCTCTGAACACAATTTTAATCATTTATATTTGTAAGTATAATAATTTTGTAAATTAGATTATTTTTCATGAAAAAGTTGTCTCGAAGAATCAAGAACTTACTTTTTTGCCAAGTGTTAGTTCTGCTTTTGAAATTATTTCAGCAAATCGGGTCTTCAACATAGCAACACGAGCATCTTTTCTTGTTGATAATTTAGAATTATCAAAACCTACATCAAGCCAATGAAATATTAAGAATAATGTATTTTTTATATGTTCAAAGTAATATATTTTGGCATATTTATATATTTCTTTTATATTTATTCCGCTGATTATATAAACCCTATCATAAAGTTTTCTTATTTTGTCATATATTTTAGATAAAAGATCTTTATTATTGTCGAATTTCTCAGCGAAATTAGATTAACGTAATTCTGTCATATATTTCATTTAAATGCTATGAATTAAGTCTTAATGTTGAAGATGATGAAGATACAATAAGCATAACCTAACATTCGACCAGGTCGTTTTTGCTGGTGGCAACCATTGAAGTGGATTTCGGGACGGCTACTTGGGATATTATCTACACTAACTGGACAGTCCGTGCGGGACGTCCTTGACGGTGGAAGCCTTGGCCGTTTTCTGAGCCGATGTTTTAGCTTGTATTTTTTCTTCTTAGTTTTTGTGGTCTTTTCTTCTGCTTGCATTTTATTTGGCTGTATCCTTTTTTTGGTTTTTTAATGAAATAATATTTTGCCAAAAATAAAAAAATAAATAAAAAATAAGCATAACCTAACATTATCCAATTGATTAGGCTCCTTTTAAGATGATGAACATGCAATTCGCAGCCTCGTTTTTACGTTAAAAGGGACTAACTATTTCTATATTATATTTTTCACTGGGCATATTGGTTTAAAAATTCTTCTTACAATCACTCTGAATTAAAAAAGGTGCCTAACAAGATATTAAGCAAAGAACTATTTTTAATATACCCCATAAAATCTATGCATATTTGAATTTTTTGTGTGTGCAAAATTAGCCATCAAATTATTATATTAATTAAAGAATATAATAAAATTGTAAAAAAAAAAAAAAACTAACCGGATGATGAAGCCTGATTGAATGCATCTACCCAGCCTATGCGTTGGTTAGCAGAACCAAATTCAGCCATGGGCTTGCGGGTTATGACCAAAACAAAGAAAATTATAATAAGAATGAAATTATAGAACTTTATGTTTTATTGACTTAAATTTACAATAATCACTTTTATATAATAAAATTTCTTTCCGCACTGTTTTATTTTGTTTGAAATATGTTTTTTGTTGCCATAGATTTAGATTCTATTTTCTAAAGAAAATTATAGAAATTTGTATACTTAAGTGAATTGCAATGTACACTTAGCAGCTGTTTAATTTGCGGAAAAAAAGTTCTAAAAAATGTCAAAATAATTGGAGATGATTAACTTTTTTATTTGATGTAAAATGAATGTAGTTTATAGCTCAAAAATGATGATGGGCCATGAGTAATAGTCGACGGTGGCAGCCGGCAACATACAATGATTTATAGCGACAATTGTCGGTGATGGCCGATAGTGAGTGATGGCCGACAACAGCTCAAATATAGAATAATAAAAAATTACTTGGAGTTGGAGCTTTGAGATCTTTGATGCTCATGAATGGGGCCCACACAACACGAAATACAAAGCTTTGAGCGGCTCTTCCAATGGAAGTTGGCCCTATTAATTAGCAGCTAATGTCTTAACTAATTAACAGAAATTAGAAAGTTTCAATTAAATAATAGATAATTCTATAGTTAACAAATAATGGGAATCTATAAAATAATTTATATTCCAAATAAAAATCAGCCAAACAAGCTAAAAAAATAGCTTACATAAAAAAAGGACCTTTACCTAAAGCTAATTGGAGCATTAGCAAGAAAAAAAAATATTTGAATATATATATATATATATATTCGGAGAAATCCATAGATGGACCTACACGTTAATACAAGAAATTATGTACAAGAGATCCATCTTTTCAGAACTAAAATGGAGAAAGTGTTGGCTAAAAACTCACATCTATGAAGACTTAGTACGCATTCGTTGATGGAAAAAATTTATTTCCCCCGAGTAATAAATTAAAACCACATAATCTACTCTCATTATAAAAAAAAAAAAAAATACTCACAGCTTGTGCAAGAAAAGTGAATATTAAAATAAATAAAAATGCAGGTCTATGAAATAGATTTTATTATCAAAAGTGAAAGATGTATACTTGCATAGTTATTGAAAGTTGAAAAATAAATAATAATGCAATAAGATAGAAAAAAAAATAGACAATTCATCTGAATATTGTTGTAATTATTTTTTTTTTGGGAAATTTTGGGGCATAAGCCCATATATTACTGTGATGAAGGAAAGTTACAATTAAGAAAAAATAAGTAAAACTACCAATCATAAGCAAAGAACAAAAACTTATGAGGTAGAAAATAAGAAAAAACCCCAACTATATCACCCAAAACTATCAAAATCAAAAGAAGCACCGAAAGTGGTAAATAGCAGATAAAACACAAAACTAGGCAAAGACATCAGAGTAACCAGCATATCACGTATGGCAGTGATGACGTGCAGAGTATCAAACAGCATAGAAGTAGCTCCCGAATGAAGAATCCCCAGCAAAATGCAAAACGAGGAAAGCCGTGCGTCAGAGATAATAGTTTGGAATCCTGCACCGGCAGCAAAATAGAGAGGAAAGAGCTCCCGAGCCCAATTGCCTGGACTCAGAAAATTGCAATATATTGAAAGACCTATCCCTGGTTGCCCAACGACCATCCAAGGGAAGGATAAGGGGAGCTTCATCATCGTCCAGGCAGGGCAAAGCACCATAAACCGAAGGGACGATGAACAGCCAGGTAATAGCAATACAAAACAGAGCCTCCACCTTATACAATTCCCATCAATTCCAACGAGTTTTTCCATTTCAGAATCTTCCCAAAAACAGCTCTTCTGATAACAAAAGCATTGGCTGTGCTGCTGGATTGCAAATTCCCATACCTCCTACTATTCCTTTCTTTCCATATATAGTAAACACAACAGCAAATAAAAAGAAAATACATTTTCTTCACTTGCTGTGATAGAGAAGGATCCCCATCTATCCATTCTAATAGCTGTAGAATGTTAGGCCTAATAAACAGATTCCTAGCCGGAGGGATAACCACAGTAATGATATCGTAAGAGTAAGAACATTCAAAAAATAGGTGAGAAATAGTTTCAGGAAATACATGGCATAGAGTGCAAGTATTAGGAATTATGATGTTTCTTTTGAGCAAGGCATTTGCTGTTTTCAATCCATTAACTAATGCAAGCCAAGTGAAGCTGGAATACCTTAAAGCATGAGATTGATGCCAGACTTGGTCGGACCAAGAGCACCTGGGAAGATTGGAATAAAACTCAAACATATAATAAAAAAAATGACTGCTCAGATTGTTTCCCCAAGACAAACAATTGTAGGTAGCAGTAAGAATGGGAATACCATGAATACCATCCCTAACAAGAGGTGGGATAACAGCCGGCAAATCCCATTGATCATTAGAAATGAAATCTCTTAAGAGGGACTTAGGAGAGGTAGCTTGCAGGACATAAATTCCATCTGAGAAATCTTCCAGCTTACCATTATAACACCAGTGATCCCAGTAAATAGAAATTGGTGAGTTACTGGTAAAACAAAAACAAAATTTGCTCCTGGAAGCAACAGCCGTAACACAAACCATTTTCCAGAATTTTGAAGCAGTGGGAGGAGGAGGACACCAAGGAGATAGATACCTAGAACGGAGCCAGGAGGAAAAAGGCGATTCCATATTGTACATTCTCAAGATAACTGAACAATTGAAAGCAAACTGCATCCCAGCCAAGGAAGGAATACCCAATCCCCCAAATTGCTAGTGACTCTTAATTCAGCTAACCGAAATTCCTAGTGACTCTAAATTCAGCTCAAATACACAACTTGTTTATAACTATATTTCAATCTGGAAGTGAATCATTGTAATATGATCATCTTAAATTTTAAGGAGGAGTCAGCCTCTTGTATCTCAAGCAAACACTAGTGGAATTATATCAATTGGCAGTGGCCTCGTGGTTTTTTCCCTTTTAGGGTTTTCCACATAAAAATCCTAGTGTTTTTATTTATCTCATGTTTGTGTGTTAGATATCCATACAAGGCTAAGGCAAAAACTTTCTATCTCTCTCGTCTCATATATTCTAGTTCGCAATAGTTTGGCACCATATGTGGGAAGCATTATCCCATAATTTCAAGTGATTCTTGATGGTCAACAGGGGTAGTAGTCGTATCATTAGAGCTTCTCGCTCCAACTCCTATCAATCTAAAAATTGGTCTATGAATCATAGACGCCTGATATCTGCCTCTTTTTACCCTAGGGGTAAAAATGCTGCTGGAGAAGAAACCTCGGAACCTTCCTTAAAAGAGAGAATTTGAAAGATGGAAGAATCTCAGAACAAGATCCTTCAACTCTTGCAAGATACTTGATAGCCGGCATTAGCACAACGGGAGGAGGTTCTTCTCACTCGAGCTACACCATTGGTCGAAGATGTTCATCTCAAACATCTATAAGCAGAGATTCATCTCCCTCCTCCAAAAAGACATATGCAATCACACCATGATAATGAACTTGCCGATATAGCAAGTTCTACCCATCCTTTTCCCACAACGCATCAACCTCACATTCCTCCAGATCTCCCAGAAGACTTAGCCCAACCGCACATTGTTGAGCTACCTTGTAATGCTCTACGTAATGAACTATGGAGATTAGTACGGGAAGAGTTCCCTAGAGGAGATGAGAGGCAAACTCTTTGATAATGGAACTTCTAGGAATCATCACATCTAACTGAAGCCATTATTTAGCACCCCATTCTGGTTGGATTCAAACTATCGAGAATCGTATCCTACGACAGAACATCTGACTTATATAAGCATATCGATCTCTATGGAACCATCATGCATATCCAGTG